AAGGCCGTAATCTACCATTTCAACTGAGGGTGCACTGTAAGACGAAAAGTGGGATGACATTGCAAACTTTATTCGTTTCGGGCACTCAACAAATCTCCACTTAATGAATAAAACTTCCACTATGCATATAGATAGTTCAAGATATTAAGAAAAAAAAAAAAAAATGATGGAATATGCATTGAAAAACCAATGAGTCCTGAAGTATAAAAAACACTATTGAAAAAATGTTTTTCTTTCCTTCCGCTTCAATAATCTGATGTTTTTGAACACAAAAAAATGATTTTTCATGTAAATGATGACATACTTCCAAGCGCACAGTCAGACACTTCTTAGTCACTCAAAAAATAATACTGTAAAGTCTAGAAGTGTTTCAAAAAACTTTGCAGCACAAAAGTTGTGATATATCAAATAGCTTACAATTTTTTGATCCTCTACCTTCCTTTCGCAACTTGAAGCTTCTTACCTCTGAAGTAAATATATTCCTTCGATAATGTTCTAATTGAAGAAATACAAATCATAAATCAAAAAGCGTGTAACTCAACGCAGAACAACTCATGCAAATGGTAGCAAATTTCTAATCTTCAAGAAAACTAACAACTTATATAGCTGTCCAAAGCTGCAATCGCAAAAAAATTAGGACACCGAGTCCAAGAAAATTTAAATAGCTGACAAAGCTCAGTAACACGACTACAGACTATAACAGTGGTAGAAGTGTAAAAAGTCTAACGAATGTTTCAAAAAGTAACTAATGCGGCAAGCTGTGTCCAGAAATTTAGATTAATCACTCTCTCTTCCCTGCCAGACAACTTCCCCGTTATTAATCCAAAAAACAAAGCTATATACCTGATGAATTTCAGATCTCTTCTGCTTGTTACGGAAAACTCCTACCTTACCAAACCAATCCCCACATTTTTACTTCCGTTTTCAAATACAACCACTACAAAACGGCTCACTTTACAAACGCAGTAGGAACAGTGCCAGTAAGCAACATCTTCAATAATATACGTTTTACATTCAGTGAACTTACAATCCAATGCACAGCAGTGAGCAAAATATGCTCGGTGCAAGCCAAATGACGCGACGGAACTTCGCATCTGACGTAAACTTCCTCGAAAACTTTTCATATTTTCGTCAACTTTCTTATAACCCAAAGTTTCACTTTAATAGATACAAACCTACGAAGAAATTTGCAAAAAAAGTTGCCTATTAATGCCTAAATGAACATAAGAAACCTTGCCAGATGCTTGAGGAAATCAGTTTAGAATCGATTTAGTTTTTCGTTTTTAAAAAACATTTAGAAATAAGTGTAAATGTTGAAATGAATTAGTTTTCGAAAACCTTCTTTGTTTCTTAGGAAGATGCATGAAAAAAGTTATTCTTTTTGCAAGCCACACAAAACAGAAGTTGAACACCGGGAGGTAGAACTGCGCATCCGGGACAGTTCAAGATAACCCGAAGGTTAATCATATAATCATGTTTGCTACATGGAAACCTGTTAGGTTAAAGGTAAAATTTAACTGCAAGCTACCGGAAATGGAAATACTGCAGAGAAGAGAAAAAAATGAGCGCGCATCTCCAAATATTCATACAGCGCGACATTCTCGTGGTATGATGAAGTTATAAAGACCACAGAAAGCAATTCTCCAACACAAAGTCAATTCTCTAATATTGCTGTCAAAACAACTACTAACATTTATTAAAAATTAAAATTTAGAAGATTTATATAAATAGTTAAAGATTGCAATAAATGGAAGACAAAAGCGATGTGCGGGAGGAAAAAACGACATGAAGCATTTAAACAAAATACGCAACCAACCTTTCATGCCATTTTTGGTTCCAAATTGATAGTTACGCGTGCACTTCACAAACCAATTATTATAATAAGCTTTTTCACTAGCAGTGCATGCACCAAACTGGGGTACACTTCGAAACTGTCCAAAATGTTGACGTATGCCAAGTGACTGAAATAGATCACAGAATAAATCGCTCTGACTATATCAACGGCAAGAAAATTTAACAAAACCCACTTGACAGTTCGCATAAAGATCATCAAATGACGTCCTCTGATACCCACTATAGTACGGTGACCTTACTTGCAGTGGCCTTTGAGACAGCACCATTTTAGACACCGTACTACCGGTGTTATTGCAACGCTTCTGCGAACAAGTTAAAGCAGTACTGCTGAACCGTTCCTCTCGCTCTTCAAAGGACCTAACCAGGCTTTTTGCAGATTGAGATAAGATCAGATCATTCAAGTTTTGTGGAAAAATTTCCGAGTTCCTCGACAATTTCTGGCCAAAATTTCTTGGCAAATTCGAGTTCACCTTGCAAAAAGCATCTAAAAGGCGTAAATGATAACCAATCAATATACAAGAAAAAACTCATTCTACATGCTTGTCCACTTCGCCAAGTCTAAGCATACTTTAGTATCCAGAGATTTCTTTGCTGACAGCAAAAGCTGTGAAACTCAATAGTGTAAAAATTCATATCTCGGAAGTACTTTTTATTTATATATTCACGAAACTACGAAAGTGAGACAGCAAGAAACAACAGCAAAACAATGATGTAAACCGTTAATGGACAGAACGAGATAATCGAGCCAAGTGTTTTTTGTAGACTCTGCAACAGTGGAAGCAGGAAACAGAAGCTCAATAACATTCCACCCATAGTCTGCTAAATGTTGATGAACAATAAATTTTAAATGACTAATTCGAAATGTGCACCTAAACCTCAAAACGTAAGGCAATTCCTACTTCCAGTGTTAACACTCTTCCACCAAGAAAACCACTTCGGTGACCATCAGACTACCTATAGCTAACATAAACGACGCTGTAGCTATTATCTAATTATCAAAATTTATCAACACATCTAAATTCTTTGAAAGAACTAGCCCACTTGCACATATTAAAGCTATCAGAAGTTCTAATCATAAAGATACATAACTCTAAAACAATATGAAAAAAATCCCAACAGCGGCCAAAAACCAACAATGCAAATTTAATGACAGAAGTGTCTAGACGGGTTAACAGGAGAGAAATATTTCCAATCCTCCTAAAAATCTGATACGGCCCAATATACAGTAAACACTGAAAGAGTCAAAGTTTAAATCTAGAAAATATTGATATAAATAAGCTGATACTGAGAAAGCAGAACTTAATCGTTGCAAATTAGCCTCAAAAAAAACGAAAAGGCGTGACGCAGTTGAGAAATCTGAGAAGCCAAATTAACACAACGTGCCAGACTCCAGAAAACCTTGGAAATTTTCACGATAGCAGTAAAATAAGCTAGGACTTGTAATTAAGCAGAGGAAAAATAATACCCATCAAAAGAAGTAAAATAACAATATAGGGAAAAAAATTTGACTACCCAGCACGCCGACTAACAAGCAACTTTTTAAGAGGTAACTAAACAAAAAATTTAAACCTATCTACTCTGACTGGAAGCAACAACAGAGTTAAAACGTTTAAACTTCAAAAAAAAAAAAAAAAAAGCCGTTCACCTCACCAACTCTGAGGGGGAAGGAGGAAGATAAAATTAATTGAAATAAAAAAGGAAACCAATCAAGCAACAAAAAACTACGATGCAGATGCAACACTGCTGCATGTCACCTTACAACAATTTCGTGAACAAGACAACTACAACTGATTAGCCGCTTACAAGACGTGTAAAAGCTTCTCGAGTAACTGCAAGTACTGAAAATATTAGAATAATTGTGTCAGAAATGAAACTAGGCCGACCAATTCACCTCTAATCAAAGAAAATGTCAGAAATACTTTTAATTCAACGACCCCGTAACTGAAGCTCAGTATTTAACGGTATAACAACGATTTACACGTACAAAGCGCGATTTTAGCTCTTTCGTCAGCAAAAAAACAAAAAACGACTACAGCCTCTCTACATGCAATGACCCCTCTATATTTCTCGCGGCTAACCTGTAGACAAATATCTCCCTTCCCCCTTCAGAAATAAGCTCGCTTTTGGCACCAAACGCAATATTTAAATACCCTCTCTGTTCAGTCCACCCAAAAATGTCTAAATTTCAGAACTCTTTCCAAACCTTGACTTCACAACAAATTTAAACAAAACATAACAGGGAAAATTCTAAAGTTAGTTTAAGTTATCAGTACCACGCGAGACACAGTGCATCGGGTTTTTCCAGAATTCACTACTAAATTGAATGCACTTGAAAACCAGTAAAAGAAATAGATACTTCAACCAAACAAAGCCTAAAAAATTTCGCGAAACCTCTAGACCAAGCAAAAACTAACCAACCCTAATTTGAATTCCTATATGTAAAATTGACTATCACTATGAATTTGTCAACCCAACTCTACATGAAATAACATCTGAATATTCTGGAATGCACTTCATTTTATCTTCCCCTCAGCTGTTATGTTTTTTGCTATACAAAAAAATTTGACTCCAAAGTGAAGAACCATGAAAACTACAAACTATAACTGTGTGCCAGTAACCTTCGAAGAACACAGCTTCTCTCCCCTAACCGCTTCAACAAGGAAAACAGGAAAATAAACAGATGTCCTCCTTTACGAAAAAAGAATTTGATGAATGAAATGGAGATAAATAAAACTTGAATTTTAAAACTTATTTGACCTCAGTTTTCTTCGTAAAATAAGGTGCTCAAAATTGTGCTGACATCTTATTCTGTAAGACTCTTCCCAAATTTACCACGTTTAACTTACGAAGCTAACCAGTCTTCGACAAAAATTTCCCTATAAAACGTTCTTAATACACTTACAAAGCATATAGATTCATTTAGTCATTTATTCTGGTAGCTGGGATCAACCTGTGCTACTTTTTCACTGCTAATTTTTTATGTCATTAGTCCGTAACCCATAAGACCCTTACTCGCACCCAAAAAAAATAGAACTAACGACAATTTACTTATCGACAAAAATTAGCTTATCATGTTGTTTACTACTCGTTCTGAGGATATCTATGCAGTCCTCCTCAGGACGAATTTAAAAAATGCATTCTACAGAAACGAGCTTCCCTCTTTCACTTTATTTTGTTTGGCCTGAAAATACAAAAGCCCCTAAAATTTAAAACGAAACCTAATTCAACTTTTGATACAGCGCTGTTAGGGTCGCTTATTTCGAAAATATGGAAATCAAGTAAGAAAGCAGATAACAAAAGCACTTGTGAAACGTTCTGAAGAGTAAATTTCAGACTAAAGTTTCAAACTTTTTGAAACATTGTATACAGTTTACCAGGCTGATTTCAAAAATTGTTGACCTTAAGATTTACTTTATCATGTAAAGAACCTAAACTTTTCTCTCATAATCCAAAAAATCAAAACAAATAAAGTTAATACATACGCTTCAGTAGCTGCAAAAAACGACAATAACAATGATAAAACTTAAAAAAAGCGCTTTAACCAATCAGCATATTGAAACTGTAACTTGCCACCAAGAAGAAAAATACTCGTCCAACTAAAATATACACCATTTACAGAGCAGAAAGAGCCCAGGTGCACTTTACTAAACGAGCTCGCTTTTACAGTTCCAGATGTTAATTTCAGAGCATAAAAAAAATGACTGCAAAGGAAAAACAATAACTGAAGCTGACAAGAAACTGGAGCTTTCTGCCACGTATTAATCCCCTTTCTTCGCAGTGAAAAACATGATCTTGCTTTATTCCTTGGGAAGTACCAACGGTTTGAAACTCATACGCGAAATGGCAATTCTAATCCATATTATTTAACTCTTACATTCTGAAAAAGTCGTGTATCTGTCCACAAACAGCTAGGCTCGATCCATAATGAGCCCAAACATTTGTCTAACGGTTTACACCTTTATAAATTAGTTGGGGAAAATGAAAATTACTAAGAAAAGAAGTAAAACAGTGACTACCAAATCAATTGAAAATTAAAAGTGCTCCCTAAGCACCATGCAATAAACTCCCCA